ATGGATGAAGGCCCTCTACCATCTACAGACCAGTCTTCAGATCTCAACTCAGAGTCTATAGTTTCTCCATTAACTAAAGTATTAAAATGCGCAAAGGCTGGAGATAAGGCACCGCCAGAAGTTGTTAAATCATGGAAAGAAAATGGTTTTACAAGGTGAATATAGTTTGGTGGTAATATTTGTTTTCACCATTCATAGTAATTCACTGAATTCTTTTGAATACTTGCAGCCTAATAATTGCTGCTCCACAGTCGGATGCATGGGGCCTTGTTAAAGATCTGTTGCCTCTTGTAGCAAATTCTGCCCCATTTGCTATCTATCACCAGTATCTTCAGGTTGGTTCTCGGAAAAGGAATCTATATATATATATATACCTTCAATCTGGTTAGACGAACACGACTCTCCACAATGGTATGATATTGTCCACTCTGAGCATAAGCTCTCATGGCTTTGCTTTGGGTTTCCCCAAAAGGTCTCATACCATTGGAGAGAGTATTCCTTGATTATAAACCTATGATCATTCCCTAAATTAGGCGATGTGGGACTTTCATCATCCAACACCTCCCCTCAAACAAAGTACGTCTCCCTTAATCGAGGCTCGACTCCTTTGGAGTCTTAGTCAGTTTTTACTATGCTTTTGAGCAGGGTTGACTCCTTTTCTTTTGGAGTCCTTTGTTCGACGTTTGAAGATTTACCAATCAATTGGCACGACTAAGTTTAGGGCATGACTCTGATACCATGTTAGACGAACACGACTCTCCACAATGGTATTGTCTACTTTGAGCATAAGCTCACATGACTTTGCTTTGGGTTTCCCCAAAAGGCCTCATACCAATGGAGAGAGCATTCCTTGATTATAAACCCATGATCATTTCCTAAATTAGCCGACGTGGGACTTTCATCATCCAACATATCTTACCAAGGACTTCAATATTTGAAGTTAACCTCATGAGTCTATTGGGTTAGTCGAAAACGTAATAATTTATGACATGTTTGTGAGTGATTTTGGTATTTACCAAAATGACTTTTGTCGTGCCCTTTTCAGTAAAAAGTGGCGTGATAAAACTGGACGGGTTTGAGAGTAATTTTGGTATTATCATCATATATGTCATGCCCTTTTTAGTAATTTCAGAGTAGGCAAAATCTCTCCAAGAATTAGCAAGGGGTGAGTCTATCTATTTTATACATGGCATGCACTAGATTGATTAAGTTGATCGTTTGTAAAATGCAGCCTCTTGCAACTTGCATGCATAAACTGCAGCTTGAGAAGATGGCAATCAGCTTGCAAATATCAGAACCTTGGCTTCGTGAATACCAGGTTTGATGGCTCTACATTTCTTCTGCTAATTTTAGGAATTAAAATGGGGAACTATCATATATATATATATATATATATATATATATAATTTATAACATGAAAAATCTTTGTTTAATAGCATCATGAAAGGAGTTAGGAATCACGACTCTCCACATTGGTATGATATTGTCTACTTTGAGCATAAGCTCTCATAGCTTTGCTTTGAGATTCTCAAAAGGTCACACCAATGGAGAGAGTATTTCTTGATTATAAACCCATGATCATTCCCTTAATTAGCCGATGTGGGACTTTCATCATCCAACACCTCCCCTCGATCAAACTACGTCTCCCCTTAATCGAGCCTCGACTCCTTTTTCTTTTTGGAGTCCTTTGTCCGACATGGTTAAGTTTAGGGCATGGCTCTGATACCATGTTAGGAATCATGACTCTCCACAATAGTATGATATGTCACTTTGAGCCTAAACTCTCATGGCTTTGCTTTGGGCTTCCCAAAAGGCCTCACACCAATGGAGAGAGTATTCCTTGATTATAAACCCATGATCATTCCCTAAATTAGCCGACGTGGGACTTTCATCATCCAATAAAAGGAAAATTTTTTATTAGTAGAACTAGTTTGGGCTGGCGGGCAATAGGCTTAGATCAAATGCAAGCAAGCTAGATCTCAATAAAGGGGGGAGTGTGAGGTGGGTTGGCCCTTCGGTCAAGAGGCGGGATAGTGTCCCACCTTTCTGTCTTGACTGGTAGGCACAATCGCTTGAGTCGTCTAGTTCTTGAGTGAAGTAATCGCCTTCAACGATAATTGCTTTTTAGCTATCAACCATCAACGGGTAGGCACAATGTTGAGTCTTTTATTTGCAGCTAGGAGGGATAAGGAGTCTAAATAAGTGGAATGAAGCATCCAAAATGTGTATTTTCTTAATTTTTTGTAATGATTTTTTTTTTTTATACAATGATAATAATGCAGGTTCTTCCTTCGAGAACCCATCCCTTCATGCAGATGAATGCGTTTGGTGGATACATTCTCAGTGGGACCAAGATTTGTGATGTAGCCCATCAACAAGCAATTTGAAGGTGCAGATTCTAATTTTAAATCAAATTTTGCCATCACCTTCCTTTTCCTTTTAATTACTTCACATAAAAACCATATTATGATCTAGACATGAATGACATCTTATCTACATTTAGCTTTATATTTTTTTTTGGGTGATTTTATCAATCTCTTACAAATTTAATTCATATGATTTGAAATAACTTAGAATTTAGTCCTTATAATTTTAAATGTTAGAATTAGTAAATTTATATGATTTGAAATAACTTAGAATTTAGTCCTTATAATTTTAAATGTTAGAATTAGTTTTTATAGTTTGATAATGCCCTATTTTAATTTTTTTTTCTAAATTACTTTTTACTATTTGTTTGTCATGGAGTCTTAACATTTGTATATTAAATGAACCTTGTACTTAACAATATTATCCTTAAAATTATTTACAAATTATTAATGTAGCTCAAAAAAAAAAAAAAAAAAAAAAACTGAATTTAAGAACTAAGAATCTTCTTAGAATAAATTAATTTTCAATTTTTCATTGATCTTGTAGAGCCTGAAAATTTTATAAATAAACTAATAAATCTTTATTTGCGAGTGACTTTTTTTTTTTGTCTTGGCTAAAAATAGATGCAAAATTACAGAATCTAGTTTTATAATTAATCTAATTTGATTTGAATTTCACATGTAAAATCAAATATGTATCATATTAACAACGTAATATTCTATATATATGTGTGTTTATATTCCCTTCCATATAAAATCTAGATCAACTTCAATTCCCTTCACTTGCAAGATAATTTTTTGATTTCATAAATTTTTGTGATGTTCCACGTTGGTTGGGGAGAACCACCATTTATAAGGGTGTGGAAACTTTCCCTTAGTAGACGCGTTTTAAAGCCTTGAGGGAAAGCCCAAAGAGGATAATATCTGCTAGCGGAGGATCTGGGCCGTCACAAATAGTATCAGAGCCAGACACCGGATGATGTGCTAGCTTTCTTGTTGTTCCCTGAAGGGGGTAGACACGAGGCAGTGTGCCAGTAAGGATGCTGGCTCCAAAGGGAGTGGATTTGGGGGCGGTCTCACATAGGTTGGAGGAAGGAAAGAGTGCTAGCGAGGATGCTGGGCTCTGAAGGGGGTGGAGGATTTGGGAGCGGTCCCACATCGGTTGGAGGAAGAAAAGAGTGCCAGCGAGGATGCTGGGCCCCGAAAGGGGGTGGATTGTGATGTCCCACATTGGTTGGGGAAGAGAACAAACCCCCTTCTACCCTCAAAGCCCAAAAGGGAAAGCTTAAAGAGGACAATATCTGTTAGCGGTGGATCTGGACCGTTGCATTTTTTTTAATGTTAATGAATTTACTGAAGCACAATTGGTTCTAAAAAAATGTCATAAGAATATAATTATAAAGATATTTTTAACATAAATGTTTTGAATTATGGTGTGAATTATTTATGATATTATTGCCATTAGAATTTAAAGTTACCTGAGACCTATCAAATTAAATAATAAAGTAGGAAAAAAAAATAGGCTGAGTTGGATTATAAAAGGTGCATATTTTTATTTTTAGTCCATTTCTGACTCACGGAATATAAAATTATTTCAACGTTAACAATAAATAAATTAATAAATTAATTATTCTATTTTTAAGTAAAAAATTGCCAGCAACATTGTTTTGGTATGTAGCACGCAACACGAGAGATTCTAACGTACAGCATGCACGTATAATATTTTTTACCTCATTATTTTAACCAAAAATAAATAAATAAATAGATAAATATAGACAGAATAATAAAAAAGTCAAATTGGTGATGCATGTATCAGCAAAATATCAGCAAAATATAATAAAATTATAAGAACCGATTTTGTAATATTAATTTTAAAATAACAGACTTTTTAATATTAAATTACTTTTGAATTTGTTTCAATAAATTTTTAATTCGACTGAATCTCACTCTTATTTGTCAAACATGCCATAATTCAATCAGACTCCAATATTTTGTTAATATTTGCAATTAAGCCCTTCATTTAATTAAGTATTGCAATTAAACCCTAGTATTTTTTTTTTTTTTTTTTTTA